TAAGATTCCATGTATATGTGTTAGCATACCGTATTTGTTTTTCTCTTTCTGACTTACTTCGCTTTGTATGACAGACTCTAGGTCCATCCACCTCACTACAAATAACTCAATTTCATTTCTTTTTATGGCTGAGTTATATTCCAATGTATAATTTCTTGTAGGTTTTCGGTTCCTTAAAATCAACAGACCTTGACAAAAAGCACCTAAAAATACCATAAAATCAGCATGTATATATATCTGGAAAGAACCCTCAAGATCGTCCGTTATGATCTCTTCATTTTAAGAGGATGCCTGAGACCCAGAGATGGTAAGTGGTGTCCCCAGGACCACAGAGCTGGGGTTCAGCCTGGACCCCTCCCATGTGACACTCTTTCTAAGACACTACACCACCTCTTACTTGGAAAAATGTTGTTCAACACATAGAAGGACCAATAGCTATAAAACCGTACCCTAGAATCCCGTTTCTAGACCAGAGGATAGTACTCTATGCCTTTATAGTCCATTTAGACTTCAATCATGAGAAATTGATGATCATTTCCCATTGTCCTGAGCTGTATTTTTTAAAATGCCAGCCTGGCTTAGGAAAAACAAATTGGTTTCTACCATTTTGTACCCATTTTTATGTAACTAAATAACGTGCTCACGGCCTGTAATCCTAGTCTATTTATCCGAATAGACTCTCTAGTGTACAAATGGTGTCAACAAATATATACTGTTAGGAACTGTATGTAAGAAAAAGTAATGAAATTCTAGCCCAAAGATAAGACTTCATGAATGTGTGTGTGTTGGGTGTGTTTCGTTTAATTTTTATTGTTGTTGGTTTAATTTTCTGTGATTTCAACTTGGTCTTCCCTTCAATACATGTAAAGAGTAGCCCCAACCTGGAAACACCAGAAGAACGGATAAACAAGAGGAAGCACATTCATGGAAGAGAATCAACGCAGCGACCGAAAGAAAGGAAAAACGTAGATGGAGCTGATGGTCATCGTGCTGAGAAGCTTTACGTGGAAGTATTCTCAATTACAGACTTCTAGAAGAGAAAACACTAATCTATGGTGGAAAATCAGAAAAGAAGCTCTTCTGGGGGCAGAGTAGGGACAGGAATTGACTGGGAAGGGGCACAGAGCAATGTCCCCATGGCGGGGGAGGTAAAGCTCTCTATCTTGCTAGGGGCTTAGGTTACCAGAGTGTATGCACATCCCCAAAACACAGCCAGTGACATGGAAGATGTGCACATTTCAACACATGCAAATGTTACATCCAAAGGAAAAACTACAAACAGACATTGAACCCTCATTAATAACATGCATGCTGAAATATCTAGGGGATGGTGTACCGATGACTGTAATTTACTTGGCACTGCCTTATTTAAAACAAGGAAGCTTGCTGGGTGGATAACAGAGTTGGACAGACAGGGCATGAAGTAAGTATGCGAAAACGTTAATTATAGAATCTAGGTGGTAGGTGTCCGTTAAAACTCCTTACTACATTGCTGTATGCTTGAACATTTTCATAATAAAATATTGGAGGGAAAAGCCATGTACGAGCAGAGCAGAAGAGAGCAGGCATCTTCATAATTCAGGACCCTCTGGGCGTCGGAAAGAAGCAAGGACGCAGGGCTGGCACTGGGGCGTACTGTGGACCATGTTATGATATCCAGGAATATTTCTATGGCAACGACAGACAGAAAGACTGCTGGAAACAAAAGACAATTTCCTGTTCCAGCTTTGGGGAAGACAAAACAAACACCTGAAAAAGAGGCAATGAGAAAAGCACAAATGGACCCCTCACCCCACAAGAGATTAGCCCACATTATCAGCAGAGACAAGCTGTGTTAAGGAGAGATAGTGGCCAAGCCAGCACCAGAGGCTAATCTCTCCGGGAATTAAAGCTTCATCAACTTGTTTTCGGCATTTTTCAAGAAGAATCCACAGATTCTGAACTATGACCGTTTGCATGTTATTTCTTCTTATCACTAAAATAAATAAATAAATAATATATAAAAAGAACACGGTTTGCCCACACGGTTAGTCATTGGTGGATAATGGAGACATAATGCTGACTGGTATTTGGAACTTGTCATTTATTGGTAAGTTCCTTTTCCACCCCCCTAAAATCTGTCCCTATCGGTGCTTAGGGCAGAAACCCTTTTTTTCTACCCCACTCCACCCATGTTGTTCCCTTTTCTCCTCTTTCCTTTACTTGCTTTTTGAAGGGATCAGTGGTGAAGGAAGAGATTACTAGGAAGTACCCCGCTTTCTCCCCCTATTCTCCTCTCTGGGCTTGTTGCCTTCCAGGAACAGGGAGATCACTCCCACCTGCTGAGGCAGGACTGTTCCGGGCGTCACACTTAAAGATGGCATCACAGGAAGGGAAGCAGAGGCCAGAGGATTCTCAGGGAGCCTCAGAGCCACTCCCAAAGCGAAAGCAAATTTCCTGGATGGTGTGTGATGTTCTGGGGAGGACTGAGGACAGATAAGGACCACGGAGAGGCAGAAACCATGCTTCGGGCACTCAGCCCTTCCCCGGCTCTTCCCTCCGGCAAGGTCCCTCCACCCAGGGTCCTAGCACTGGGGTCTAGTTTGTAATTTTGGAAAACCACCCCTTTCCAACATCTCTCCTCAAGCCTTCAGAAATCGTCTGCAGTTCCACAGTGTGCAGAGTGGAAGCAGCATGGAATTCGGAGTTGGGAAAACCTGGGCTCCAGTCTCTGTGTTCCCTTCTGTCTGGGTGTTAAGAGTGCAGGAAGGCAGTGTCTCTGGGGGCGCAGTGTCCCCCAGGCCCCAAGGGCAGCATGGCTGTGAGGCTCTGGGGGCCTCGCGGTGGGTGTGAGAACTCCTGGTGTAGCCTGGTGCCCGCCGAGCATTTGGGGTCTGGCAAAGGGGGTGATGGTCCAAAATGGAGGAGACTGAAGGCATTTCCGGTTCCAAAGCAGGTATCCCGGGGCAAAAACGCTGCTCAGTTACCCATCGCTGGTCGAGGGCCGCTGTGTGACCAAGCAGGCTGAGGGCTGCCATGAGGGGAGAGGGTTACACTCATCCTCTCTGCTGGGTAACAACTCACACAGAGAGTGGTTACAACAACACACAGTTTTCATCTCACAGGGTCTGTGGGTCAGGAGTCCGGACCCGGCAAAGCTGGGGGCTCTGCTCATGGTGTCCCCAGGCTGAAATCAAGGTGTCCACAGGGGCTCTGAGCTCATCCGGGTACCAGGGACCCCTCCGGGGTCACTGGTTGTCAGCAGGATCCAGTTCCTTTCAGGGGTAGGACGAGGTCCCATTTTCTTTCTATTTATTTATTTGTTTGTTTGTTTTTATTGAAGTATAGTTGATCTACAATGTGTGTTCATTTCAAATGTACAGCGAAGTGATTCAGTTATACACATATATTCCTTTACAGATTCTTTTCCCTTTGTAGGTTATTACAAGGTCTTGAGCTGAGTTCCCTGTGCTCTACAGTAGGTCCTTGCTGGTTGTCTATTTTATATACAGCAGTGTGTGTATGTTAACACACTTGCCCCCTCGGTAATAAGTTTGCTTTCTATGTCTGAGTCTGTTTCTGTTCTGTAAATAAATTCATTTGTATCATTGTTTTAGGTTCCACCTATAAGTGGTATCATATGATATTTGTCTTTCTCTGTCTGGCTTACTTAGTAAGATAGTCTCTAGGTCTATTCATGTTGCTACAAGTGGCATTGTTTTGTTCTTTTTTATGGCTGAGTAATATTCCATTGTATAATGTGTATGTACCACATTTCCTTTAACCATTCCTCTGTTGATGGACACTTAGGTTGTTCCCATGTCTTGGCTACTATGAACATTGGTGCATATGAACATATGAACATTGGTGCAGGTATCTTTTTGAATAATAGTTTTCTCCAGATATATGCCCAGGAGTGGGATTGCTGGATCATATGTTTTTTTAAGGAATGAGGTCCCGTTTTCTTGTTGACTGTCACGGAGGGTCACCTTCAGCTACCAGAGGCCCGCCTTGGGTCCTAGCCTCTGACCACCCCCAACAGGGATGCTCAGAGCCAACAGAATGGCTCTCCCTTCAAATCTCCCTTCAGTCAGCTATGAAGGGCACATGATATGTGATATATAGAATGTGCCCAAATCATCCCATCGCTTTGCCAGTAGGATAGAACCTTATCCAGGAAGAGGCCAGCCATCCTGTTCATCTGGTACTTGGGGGAGGGGGTTATATAGCATGTGATCACTAGGGGGCAGGATCTTGCGGTCCATCTTAGAGAACTTAGAATGTGGCCTGGGAGAAATGGGCTCAGAGCATCAGGCCGGCAGGGAGGGGAAAGGGCTGGGCTACTGACAGTCAGCATAAGGCTCTGAGACCTCCCCAGCTTCTAGGAAGTTCCACAGCATGAGAAGAGCTTTGGGGTTAAAGCTGGAATAGCCCCAGCCAGGTTTATTTCCTGAGTTTCCTTTAGAATCGTGGATGTGTTGGTCATTTTAAAAGAAAGACTGTATATTGGGGGAGAGATGTTGCTTTTGCTGCTGCTTCTCAGAATAATGTGGGTCCAGGTCTATTCCTGAGACACGTGGTATCATCAGAGAGCGAGGAATCGATAACTGGATGCAGACAGACATCATGGCAGCCGGCAGAGAAGTTCTCTCTTCTCTGAAGACATCCTTGGAAAGAGACTCCTGCTGCCCCGAGACCCTATTACCCAGGCTGGTATCTCTAGCCGGCAGGACAGACCCTGTTTGACTGAAATCCTCATCTTTTTGTAACCTCGGTGAAGGCATAGAAAATGATTCATAGATTCACAGATAAGAGAGAAAGAGACAGAAAGAGACACAGAGGCAGAGAGAGACAATGAATCGTCCATCCCTCAGCTTAAGGTTGAGAAAGCCTCAGGTTTGGGGTCGGACGTCTCCAAAGACCAAGAGACAAATCGTGTACGATTCTCCCCGTGCCAGGCTGACACTCACCCGCTCTGAACACCAGTGCACTCCAGCCCTGGTGGACCTTTGCAATCTTACCTTGGGCTGTTCAAAGTCCTTCCCATCCAGTGTTTGGTAGGGTTGCTTGGAGCAAAACCAACCCCCGGGACCTATGTACTGAGTGCTCACAATGTGCTGGACTCTGTGGGAACTCAGCGAAGAGGCCGGGCACAAACCTGTGAAAAATGGCATGGCAGGACCCAGTGCAAAGAAGACAAAGGAGGAGATCACAGGGTGCGCCGTGATTGCTTGCCAGATGGTCCAGATAAAAACCTCCCAGGAGCTCAGAAGAAGCGTGATTGCCTCACACCGGTGCTGAGTCAGAGGCGGACTTGATTAAAAAGTGTAGCCTGGACTCAGTCCAAACTATTTTTTTCTCCTTTCACCACCTTCCATTCTCCTCCCCCCGGATCCTCTGGGTGTTTGGAAGCAGAGGTGTTTTCCAAGCAAAGTTCTAAGAAGCGTTGTCCGTCTAAACTTGCTTCCAAAGAACAACAAGAAAGCCCAGCAAAGTAGCAATGTCCTAAAGTAATCCTGCTCCTTCACTTGATGTCATAACTTAGTTTCAGCACGAGATACAGAAAGTCAGACTGTGCTCTTTAATAACATTGGTGCAAGTAGAAACAAAATGCTTAATCACACCCTGTTTCACGCAGCTGAGCTTGAGTTGGCAGTGCTGCTGGGTCTGAACTAACCTGAGGCTAGGGAGCAACAGTGTATAATGAGCCTCTACTTAAAACAAGGCAGGCCTGAACTCATCTTCCTAGAACTTAGAGTTTATCTGCAAAGGGAGAAGTAACAGGTAATGACAACACAGGGTGTTTGGGTTTTCTATTGCTGTGTCAAATATCATCCTAAAACTCAGGGGCTTTAAAAGAAAAAAAAAGATGGCTTTTGTTTCTCACAAGTCTCTGGGTGGACGGGGCTCAGCTGGGCAGCTCTTCTGCTCCACATTCTGGAGCAGCTGCATTCAGCTGGGAGCCTGGGGGTGGGGTGGAGTGCGGGGCTGGAAGGTCCAAGATGGCCTGTCATCCCCCAGGGTCTCGCGTCATTTGGTAGACTAGCCTGGGCTACTTGAGGCTGTGGTGACTGCCTTCCAAGAAGGAGTGTTCCAAGGAAACAAGCTCCAGGATAGAGGTGCTATCAATTATTTGCCTGTATCACTCTGACTCACGTCCCGACAGCCAAAGCAAGTCACACGACCACGCCCACAGTCAGTGTGGGAGGGGCCACGTAAGGTTATGCAAAGCAGGAGGCGCGGTTCTTCTGGGGACTACCAAGTAATAATCCTCCACTTGATGTAAATGCTACGAGAGCACGCTGGAGGGACAAGGAACCCAGGTTTAAAGTTCAAGGTGACTTCCTGGAGGAACAGACCTTAACCAGACATGAAGGATGGGGACGCATGTCAGGGACATCTGTTGTTTTGCCTCGTTATTTCTCGGAAAGCTACTCGTAAGATTTGTGTTAGGTATACTATGTATATACAGTAATTAATTTTTTTAGTTTGCAAGAATTAATCAACTGTTAATTAGGAGATAGAGCCATAAGCACACTTCTCACGTGGCCACGGCTGCCAGCAAGACCGAGCGATTTCCACCACGTCTCCCCGCTGGCTCTTGTCCCGGGGTCCCCAGCAATGGGACTCTGACTCCGGATTCTACGTGTCAGTGTTTCCTGCTCTCACTTTCCACTTGGTAGTCGTGGATGCTTCCAAACTGGTAACATTCCTATGTGGATGGTTAAGCCTTAATTCTTGTAAGATGATCATTTCCTGATTCCCGGACTGATTTTTCTTGGGATTCTGAAAAACATAAATTTCCCAAGAATGGCGGAGAAGGCATTCCTGCCCAAGGGAACACTTGTATTGTGGCTGAAGAGGGGGAGAGACAGTCCGAATGAGGTGGGCGGGGGGAGAAGTCACGCAAGAGGGAGGGTCTCATGAGCCCTTTTCAGTTAGAGCTGTATCCTTACGGCAAGAGGAGATCACTGAAAAGTTTTAAGACAGGGAATGACAAGATCAGAATTGCATTTGAGAAAGATCTCCAAGGCAGAGGTGTGGATTGGATGCAGGGAAACCTACCAGAAGGGTGAAGAAATGATGCAATGGTGGTCTGAGATGGTCTGAATCGAGTAGGGGCCACGGGGATGGGACAGGAAGGAACACAAGACCACCCTTCGTGATTGATTAGGTGTAGGACTTGCGGTGTCCGGAAGAGTTCTGCAGTCAGCCTCTGGGCTCATGCCCGCTGACCTCCCCAGGAAGATAACCCAGGTTCTGAATGTTTACAGACAGCAGAGATAAACACCATTTCTATTTGTAGCCACTGCCCTCCGCAAACACTCACCCAGTTATTTCCTCTTGTGGACGCTCACCCTCCCTCCTTATACAGTGTCTGTCTTAATCTTGGAGTTTCCTAAACAAAAGTCATCTTTAAAATCATGATTTTCTACCAGAAGACTCAAGCATCTCCCGGAGACAACTCTGTCCCATCACGTCTATGTCAGATTTAAACAGTACTTTATCTCATTCTCCGGGCAGGAGCAAGCCAAGACAGCTTCCAGAATGGAATTCCAAGGTGCTGGAAAGCAATAGAGAAGGTGCTTTTTCGTAGGACTCCGCTAGCCCGCATGGCTCTTCAGTGTTACTGAAAATGGAACCAGTTCCGCTGGGCTGACGCAGCCCCCGTGGCTTCATTTCTGTGGCTGACAGCTGAGAGTGGCCCCTGGTTTGACGGGCCAGAGCAGCGACCAGCGTTTTCGTGAGCTCTGCCCTCTGCAGGGAGACGGCTCTCCGTGGTCTCTCACATCTCTGTACCCCTGCCAGCAGAGGCAACGTCTTCTCAAGGATGTTTGTGTTGCAGGTAGCTCGGAAAATAGAGATAGCACCTCCCTTCAGAGAAAAGGGCGGTTTGTACTATCCCGTATAATAAAGATGAGTCTCTCCAAGGCCAAGGTCAGGTGTGCTTGCAGCCCGTGATAAATGATTGGGGTTCCTTAAACACAGGGTTCCTGAGCTGTGATGCCAGCCCTGCCTGTGCAGCTGAACCTGAACCTGATGGACGAGGGGAGCTGAGGGTCAAGCCTGAAGCTGCTGCCGCCGCCGGAGCTGCTGCATCTCTGTCTCTGACCCAGGAGTCTCGCGTTCTGCCAGCATCCACTCAGCTGGGCCAGGCTAGCCAGTTAGCTAGTGGGGAGGATAAAACCTCAGCCCCTTCAGCGTTCTGAACCTCCCACGGAGCTTACATCCTGATGGAGGAAGAAAAACACGTGTAACCAAGCAAAGTAATCTGAATTGTCAGAGTGACAGAGAGAAACAGATCAGAGGCTGAAACAGACAGTGTGTCTCATGGTGGACGTACCACAGTGAGGGCGGCCTCTCAGGAGTGGGGCCATTTCAAGCGTCTAAGGGAGGGTTTAGGCAGAAGGCATGAGGCCCAAAACCCCGGGCAGAGGGAACCGCACGTACACCCTGAGGTCTGTTTGGGGAACAGGAAAAACACCAACGGGATTCAGGGATGGTAAGTGACAGAGAGCTGTGTCCTGAGATGAAGGGGGAAGCGGTCACGGCAGAAGCAGCAGATTCTTACGTGCTGTGGGGTTTGGCTGTTTCCTAAGACTTTCAGGCAGGGAGTGAACTGGCCTGTTGATCTCCTAGAAGGTCGCTGTCTGTGTGGAGCTCACAGGGGCCCGCAGAGAGCTGCAGCCAGAGAAACCTGTAGGGAGAAGGTGGAAGCAACATGTTCGCGGGGTGAGGTCCATGCTGATGCCAGAGATCAGGCCGTCAGACAGTGATGATGGGCCAGAAATGCTGAAGCTTTCAGCAATGGGCTTGACTCTTTACAAGAAGCCCAAGGCTCTAGGAAAACATCTGTGGATAGACTTTAGAGAACGAGTATTTCCCCACTGACTTATTTCAGTGATGGCTCTCTCTTCATCGTTTGATTTTCTCTTGGCAGTGCTTCCAAACCCTTTGCTCTGGCCGCCCTGCCCTTCCCGACCAATCAGGGTGAGCTATAAAGAAACACTGAACTGCAGTGGAGAGGCTGCTGTTCAAGGGAACTTCTGACATGAAGCATTCCTTCTCCTTTGTTTTGTAAGCTTTAACAGCAGTGCTCACGGGGCGACCGCGTGCGTGTTAACCAGGGCAAGCGTCGCTGCCGGCATGACAGACGTAAAGCACGAGTGCCACAGGTGGGCAGGCCCTCAGCTCCACGCAGACACGCAGGGTCTGGTGGATGGAGCCGGGGCTCTGGGACCTGCACCGTCTGGAGCACGTGCTCCCCAGCAAAGTAGGAGAAAGAGGTGACGAAGCACCCAAGTTTAATTGCCTCAGCTCAGAAGGGGCACACCCATCACTTCCACTTCTGGTCCACGGGCCCAGGTTAATGATACGGCCTCATCCGAGTGGCGAGAAAGGCAGAGAAATGCGCTTGAAGAATCCGTTGCTGAGCCCTGTTGCTGCAGTCTATCTACAAAACATCGAGAAGCAAAAAGGAGAGGAAATCACGTGGAATTTGCTAAGTGCCGTCTCAGCGTCAGGCACGGTGACTTTTGTCCCCATATTCATTTTCTGTTGCTGTGTCACAGGTCATCACAGACTTAGGGGCTTCATACAACCGCCATTCACAGACTCCCAGCCCTGCAGGGCAGACGTCCCGTGGTCCCCCTGGGCGCTCCGCTCAAGGTCTCCAAGCTGAGATGAAGGTGTTGTTCAGGCGGGCTCTTCTTGGGGCCTCTGGAAAGGATCCACCCTGAGTTCTTTCAGGTCACTGGCTGGATCCAGGTCCTTGCAGCTGGGCACTGAGGGGTCTCTCAGCTCCTTCATCTTCAAAACCAACGGCATACGTGGCCTCCTCTTTGTGCTTTGAATCTCTGACTTCTCCTTCTGCCACCAGCCAGAGAAAACTCTGATTTTATAGAGGACAAGTTATGAGATTATCAGACCCCGGCAGGTCTCAGAAAGCTGGGTGACATCCTGCCCCCTGCTTTCCAGGCAGAGCCCTTGGGAGCAGAACAGCGGTCCGTGCAGTGGGTCGACCCTGGGCCTTTGTCACGCTCATCAAGCACAAAGCAGAAACAACAACTTGCCTCTGTGACCTTGGGTGCGTGTGGAAGTAACACAGCCCCCAGGACGCCGCGGCACGTGAAGGGGAGCAAAGGATCTCACTGCACTACCTGTGTGGACCAAGGGCAAAGGCCAAGACGGATGCTGAACATTCTAGGGGGTGCTGATGTGAGCAGATGACAGTTTGGCCAGATGCTACCCACCACCTGGCTCCTTGGTGGAATGTCAGCCCCCTGGAACTTGGGTGATAGAAGCCACAACCTCAGGGAAAAGAAAGGGGGAGTTTCCATCGTCCCAGCAGGATGTGATCTGGAA